CTACAGACTCATGAAGAATATTTTCAATAGCCAAGCTACAGAGTCTGATTAGTTGTCTGTCAGCAGATAAACGGATGAAGAAAAAAATTGCATACATTTTATTCAGCCGTACAAAACAATGAAATTATGTCATTTGCAGGAGAGAGACAGATGGAACTGGAGATCGTCATGTTAAGAGGAATTAGCTAGACTCAAACAAATGCCATGTTTTCGTTTATATGCAGAATCAAGATTAGTAATAATAATAGGTGTGTGTGAGGGGGCATGATAAAGAGGCTGCCCTCGTGACCACGCCATTATTAGGGGGAAGGCTGCTAATGTGAATAAGAGAACATCCAGAGGCATCTGGAAGAGTCCAGAGCAAAGAGAAAGAAAGCAGACTGACCAATGGCCAGAGCTATCTGAAAGAAAAGCAAGAGAGAACAGTGAAGATAACTTTGCTGTTATTTGGAGAACAAATGGAAGCCTGGGGGGGGTGGGTGGGCGGGGGAGAGCAGGGACCAGGCTCTGAGATGAAAAACAAGTCCTTGAGAAGAGACTGAGGGAACCTGGAGCCAGCATGAGCTTTGATGTGCAGCCACTGTGCCTGCCCCTTCTGCCAGAGGCAAGGGAAATGACTCCTTTTGGGCGTGAGGAACCCATTTCACATGTACCTGAGGGGATGCTGGGAAAGCCACCTGTAGTTCAGCATGAGCTCATTTCTAGACATATGATTTCCTGAGATATAATAATAATAAAATAATAATGATAATGATGATGATGATGATAATAATGATAATAATAAATAATAATATACATGAAAACAGAATGGGGGACTCTAGGGGCAGATAGGAACAGAAGGAGGGGTACAAGAGAAAGCAATGAGGAGCAGTGAGTTTGGTCAAAGTATATGCTGTCCTAGTAGAAACATCTTAGAGTAAAACATGTTCTTTTAGCGGGTGGTGGTGGTGGCTCATGCCTTTAATCCTAACACTCAGGGGAGGCCGAGGCAGGTGAACCTACAGAGTGAGTTCCAGGACAGCTACACAGGGGAACCCTGTCTCAAACAACAAAGAAACATCACTTCTGGGTTTTTGTCTTTTTTTGCCTTTATTCTCTATGACGCATTCTGGGTAGTTTCCTCAAATCCAATGTCCAGTTCTGTCTTCTACTGCTATGTGCAATTTTCTGTTTTATCTGACCTTTGAGCTGCTCATGGCATAGAGCAGTGGTTCTTAACCTTCCTAATCCTGTGACCATTTAATACAGTTCCTCATGTTGGGGTGACCCCAACCATACAATGATCTTCATTGCTACTTCATAACTGTAATTTTGCTACTGTTATGAACTGTAATGTAAATATCTGTTTTCCAATAGTCTTAGGCGATCTCTGCGAAGGGTCATTCAGTCCCCAAAAGGGTGGTGACCCACAGATTGAGAACCACTGGCATAGGTGTGTGCTTTGCACTTGGTTCCCCCACACTCACTCCCAGACAGGGTTTCTCTTTGTTGCTTTGGAGGTTGTCCTAGATCTTGCTCTGTAGACCAGGCTGGCCTCGAGCTCACAGAGATTCACCTGTCTCTGCTTCCCAAGAGCTGGGACTAAAGTCGTGCGCCACCAATGCCCAGCGCACTTGGTTCTTTTTATGTATGTATTCCTGGTTGTTTTGACAGTGTCTCATTCCTCCTCTGCAATTGCATTTTGGGCCCAAGACCACAGAGAGACGTTTTCTAGGAAGTCTGTCTCCTCATTCCTCAGCCACTGAATCTAAGATAAACAGTGTCTCCAACTTCCTCCTAGGGCCTAGAGTTTTCTGCCTTGTCTTTCAAGGATTCCAGACATTGACACAAGGGTGTCCAAACAGATTTTTTTTTTTTTTAATCTTCCTTGCAGCAGGCTTGTCACATTTCCTGATTGCTGAGGTACAGTTGTTGGCCCCTGAGGCACACTTGGGCTCCAGCCGCAATCCCTCTGCATTCTATGTGTGTACTCTGTCAGTACCATTTTCAGAATCTCTTGAGGGACCAGACAGGTGGCTTAGGCTTGTGGTCCCTACTGTTCAGAGGCTGAGGCAGGGGATCAGGAGTTCAAGGCTAGAGTGTGCTACATAGCATGACTGTGTCAGTCTCAGAAAGGATGAGTAAGAATGAGTGGCAGGGCTGGGCGTTGGTGGCTCACTCCTTTAATCCCAGCACTCGGGAGGCAGAGGCAGGCAGATCTCTGTCAGTTCGAGGCCAGCCTGGTCTACAGAGCGAGTGCCAGGATAGGTTCCAAAGCTACACAGAAATGCTTGTCTCGAAAAAAAAAAAAAAAAAATTGTGGACGTGTGATTAGATGGAATGGCAGGAGGGACAGGAAAACTTTTAAAAGACCCTCAGCCTTTTTTTTTTTTTTTTTTTTTTTTTTTTGTGATTTCAACCATGTTACAAGTTCAGGCAGCTAAACTGTGCAAGGTGAACTTTGTTTGTACACCCATAATCCAGATGCCCTTTTGCCAGATGGGTTTCTGCAGACATCTATCTGATGTGCCAATTTGTTAGAAATGGGGAAGATGTATTTGTGTGTATGTGATCATTAACTGTTAGAACCTGGTTTTTGCTTCCGTTTAACACTGTGGGTGAACCCTGTAGATCAGTATTTTCCAATGTGCCATGGCCTGACATTTTGGCAACTACTAAGAAAAATGAATTTCTGATCACTGCTCGGTGTTGTGGTAATGTCAAATATCCACACTTCAAGTTTTCTGAACACCTTCTCTCAACTTCTCATTGCAAAGCAGTAAAGCACCTGGTAGGGTGAGTCTACACTTGGATGGTGTTCCAGCATTTCCTAGCATTTGGTGTTGGGGGTCAGAGGTTAACACTTCTACTCTTTAAGCTTCTTGATTTACATTTTCCTATTGTCAGCAACCTCGTTTCTTCTGCAAAGATGTTTCTGTGGCCGTATGTAAAAGCATAGATGCTTATTGTTTGAAATTTTCTTTCTCTTTTGGGGGGCCCTGCCACCCGCCTCCCAGGTGAATCACTCACAGAGACTTATTCTTAGTTATGAATACCTGGCCTTAGCTTGCCTTGTTTCTAACCAGCCTTTATTAACTTAAATTAACCTGTCTACCTTTTCCCTCTGGGCTTTTATCTTTCTTACTTCTGTATATCTTACTTTCCCTCTTACTCTGTGGCTGGCTGGGTGGCTGGATAGCTGGCCCCTGACAGCCTCCTCTCCTTGTTCTCATTTCTTTCTTTGTTTTTCCTTCTGTGTATGCTCTCTGCCTGCCGGCATCCTTGCCCCTGCCTCTCGCTATTGGCCAGTCAACGATTTATTAGACCATGAGGTGTTTTAGACAGGCAAAGAATCACAGCTTCATTGAGTTAAACAAATGCAGCATAAACAAAAGTCATACCCCTTAAAATAACATTCTGCCACAGGTGCTTGCTGCAGTGCCCTCTGCCTTCCTCTGCAAACCCAAGCTGACTGGTCCCTATGGGGTACTGTCACTGGTGTACCTCCAAGTCATCCATACATTTGTAGTACCATTCTTTGAAATGAAGATGGTGTTTTTGGTCTGCTAGAAGGTGTTGGTTGGTCTTCACACTCCTGGCAGGACGGCCTTCTGGTCGGAGCAATCCTAAAATGCTATTGATTGCAGAGATGTTAGGGTGGAGATACTGGAGTCCTAGGGCACCTTGTAGTTGGACCCATGAGTACTCCCATATCTAATTACTACCAACTGCCTGCAGACTGGCTGATGGGATCGACCTGCACCGTGCTAAGAAGTATAGAGGAAGAAATTCCACCACACTGTAGAATAACATCTCTTCTGACTGATGTTAACTTGGCACATCCTCTCTTCTCCAATTGTTTGGGTGTCCCTCGTTAGGAGAAGTAGTGTCTTTGGCATGGACCAGTGATGTGAACCTGAGCCAGCTTCTCTGTGAACTGGTGGTGATGGTGTATCTTCTAGTATCTCTAAGACACATTTTTTTTTTTTAACCTGAGTTTTGTTTTGTTTTGTTTTGTTATCTTTCCTTCAACCTTCTTTTCTACCTGGCCAGCTTAACTACCATTAGATATTCCATTTGCCTTATTCTCTTGCTTCTGTGCAGCCTGCCTGCTGCTGCTTTATAGTAATTTCTCCAAGCATGCTCATTAACATCCATTGTCTTTTGGTACATATAAAGGCTTTACCTACTTTAATAGCTCTCTGGTTACTTCTTGGCAGTCTGAGAGGTAGGGCAGTCATGTCGGCAAGAGGGGATATGAACTTCCTGCTTGCACAGCAGGCATCTCACCCACTAAGCTGTCTCCCACAACCTGCCATTCATTTCTTCAGTATGCATCTACTGAATGCCTGCTCTGTGACCCCATGGTTACTAAGCACTGAGGGCACAGCAATGAATGACCAGCATGCAGGGTGCATCTGTGTGCTGGTCTTCATTGGAACATCCATTCTGCTTCCTTCTAGTTTTCCCAAAGTGAAGACTTGTTTTCTTCATCATCTTCCCTTCATTCTCAGGTCTCCTTCTCAGAAAGATGTCAGCTTTGAAAACTCTCATCTTAGTGCTGAGATGTTACACAGTTGGTAGAGGGTTTGGCTAGCATGTATGAAGCCCTGGGTTTGAGCCCATAAACTGGGCATGGTGGTACATGCTTACAATCCTAATACTTAAAGGCAAAAAGATCAAGGTTCAAGAGCATCCTTGGCTATATGAGACCCTGTCTTTAAACAAACAAACAAACAAACAACAACAAAAAACTAAAAAGCAGCTTCCCCTGAGGTGCCCAAACCAATGCTTTTGGGTGTGTCTTGGTTTATTCTGCCTGCCTCTCTTTCTCTGGACCCTTGTGCTTAATTAAGTCTTTATTAAGATATTTAGCCCCAACTCTGCTTCAAAAGAAAAAGAAAGAACAGAAAAATCCCGTTAGAGTGTAGTGATTTATCAGTGTGCTAGTGTGTGCTTCCTTTTCGTTTCTCACCAACACATCCTCTAAAAATAACTCTTGTGTTGTTTTTGATTTTTAGCCGGTTACACCTCAACAAGAAGGCAACAGACAAGCAGCCGTATAGCAAGCTCCCTGGTGTCTCTCTTCTGAAACCATTGAAGGGGGTGGATCCTAACCTAATCAACAACTTGGAGACATTCTTTGAACTGGATTATCCCAAAGTAAGTGTAGTGCTGTGCACATGAGGAATGGACTAGGCTGTGGGGTTTTTTTTGTTTTGTTTTGTTTTTCCTCATCAGAAACATTGGGAATTTTAACACTGTATATAAGGTGGAAGTACTGATGCTTTGTATACATAAAATTAAAGTAAGCTTTGCTTACAATAAGAAAGCTGGAAGGTTTTCAAGCCCATAGTGTATAAGTGAATACAAAGGAAAGTTTATTTTTGTGAATGAAGTATTTTGTTAATTATGAACAAATCTCAGCATCTGGCTTAGTGTCCACATGTTTCTGATGTGGAGTATAACCTCACATTTTGGTTTTGCTGCCATCATCCCATCAAAGCTCAAAGAACTAGTCCCATATGGCTTTTCTCATGTCCTGTAGTATACCGGTGTATTTAAATTGCTGGAAGAGAAAAGCTATGTTAGTCTTCAGTGTGGAATGAGTTACAGCATATGCCAGAGGCAGTTTCTAGTCTAGTCTAGTTTAGTTTCAGAAGTAGAAAGCCAGAGGAATCTGTAATCTAAGGGAGACTTTCATTCTGACAGTATTTTACTTTAAAAACATTAACACCGTGGTAAGCGTAGCACAAAACCATCTAGTTCTTGAGTACAGGTAACCTATTCAATATTATCTTTCAAAACTTTGAATTTAGAGGTATTTTCTTTAAAAACCTCCCTTTTTGTGCTTTTTTTTTTTTTTTTTTTTTTTCACTCAGAAGTTACCCAAATGAACTCCCAAGTGAACTTGTCACCTGTTCTAGGCCAGCAGCTGTTCTAGGGACTAAGAGTCTAAGTTCAGTTACAGGATTTAAATTCTATTACGATCCAAATATAAAATTCTATAAAACCTAGAGTATGAAGTTCTTTATGAGTAGTAGCTCAAGATATGTATGTGTGTGTATGCGTACTTGAGAGGGTAGGATGTGTCTCTGTAGAGCACTTGCCTGTGGCATGCATAAAGTTCTGAGCTTAGCATAAACAAGATGTGGATTTGGGCCAAAAGCCATAGTCCCTGGTACATAGGGAATTGGAGGCCAGTGTAGGCTATAAGAAGCCAATGGAGGGAGAAAAAAAGGTTATTTTGCTTGATGTGCAATATAATTCATTCACATATTAAAACATATTTTAGGACAGGGTGTAGCTTGGTGATAAGAGTGTGTGTTTAGCATGTACAGAGCCTTGGTTTCAATCCCCAGAACCACCACTTAAAATTTTGTTTTGAGTGGTATTTTTGTCCATCTCTCCAGCCTCTCTTAAAATATCCTAAAGGTATATTTTAACATGTACTGTGTTTTTAATATGTATATGTGTCCAGTCTTCAACATTGTAAACAATACCCCCAAAGTTATTTTAATGTATTAACTAGAAAACATTTAACCATGTCTAGTGTTTGTCTCAGTTATAATTGGAGGGATTGTACTGTTTTAGTACAGAGATTTCTAGCAAATAAAATGTTCAGTCACACCAGGAGGACACAGAGGTGACACCTCGTTACAGTGTGATGCTTCAGAAAACACTTAGCATGCTTCCTTCAATTGGATAGAATTCTTTAAAAAAAAAAATCTGTCATAGTGTCCACTCCAAGATAATGTGAATTGAGTTTTATTTGTATGATGGCTAATTAAAGCTTTTCTTTTTTAATTTTGGGATTAAATTTAAAAGGTATAATCAAGTTTGGAAACTTCAAGCCTCGTGATTGAATAAAGATGAGTTCCCTTACTTAACACATTATACTTTTCAATTTTTTTGGTATGGGACTAGAGAGCTAACTCAGTAGTTAAGAGAGTGGACTGCTCTTATAGAGACCTAAGTTTAATTCTTGGTACCCACAACTGGTAGCTCACAACTGCTCATAACTAACTCCAGAAAATTGGACTCTTAAGGACCCCATAGGTACCTACAAACACACACACAACACACACACACACACACACACACACACACACACACACACACACAAACACACACACAGTTTAACCCTTCTTGAGTAGCATGTTTGATCAATCATAACTGAAATAGATATTGGGTAAAATTTGTATAAAGAGGTAGAAATCATGAGGGACCTATTCCTTGTTTTCACCATCTTCTTAATTATTGGGACTTTTTTTGTTTTTTTAATTAAAAAACAGAATCCCCACTTTACTGACTAGTGCTTTCTTGACCTTGGTCCTGGTTCTCTCATCGCTCAACCACAGATACCTTTTCTGCCACTTTTTGGTGAGATAAGTTGGATGCCAAAGGCATCATGAATATTTTGTTTCTGCTTCTTTTGTTTATAAAGAAGTAAGCGGTGGGTTTCCTGTGGCTCTAATGAGCCCCTGTGATATAAGCACTTCAAAGTTACAGGACAGTTGTGGCAGGGCCATTCAAGCTCTCAGAAATGCCTTTCTAACCAAATAGCATCGAGCAAAATGAAGTTCTGGGTGTTTTCATAAGTGAAGTATGCTTTTCAGGGTAGTAAGAATTCAGTCAAAAAAAAAAAAAAGAAGAAGAAAACAAAAAGAACTCTAATCACACTTTGTCCTTTATGGGATGTCATTTGTAATTTGTAGCACCTCATGAAGTGATGCTACATTCTAGGGCAAGGATTCTGCAGAATAGGGAGTGTGCTTGGTTTTACTTCGTCTCAGTGTGGTTTTTACACTCCTGCTCGTCTTGTAAGCATCAAGTGTGTGTTCCGCAGTTCAGGTCATGAACAAGCTTGATATGCAGGTTGCCATTGGGGAGGGGCCTGCCACACACTGCCAGGCTCCTCCTGATGCTGACAGACAGGTCCTTGTCCTGGAGAAGCTGTCTCCACCCAAGCCACCCTTGTCATAAGCATCTGTATCGCTTAGGATTCCTCCCTAAGCTTGCAAACTTTATGTGCACAGTGTTTTTTCTTTTCCTTACAGTTTATTAATGTTAATAATAACAACGAGGTTAATCAATGTTAAATTTCTCCTTGGACTAGTATGAAGTACTCCTTTGTGTACAAGATCATGATGATCCAGCCATTGATGTATGTAAGAAACTGCTTGGAAAATACCCGAATGTTGATGCTAGACTATTTATAGGTAAGTACAAAGTCTGTATTGGCCATTTTGCTTTGGTAGTTTCAGTATCAGTGATCTGCTCTGCATTAAACTCAGGGTTAGGAGCTCACTGAGTAAAGTCAGTATGCTTGCTCTAAGCATGTTTACAGGGGGCAAGGGTGGTGATGTGGGGATGGGGTAAATACAGTTCCAACGTCTTGGTTACCAAATGAAACACACACAAATAATATCTTAGTCAATAATCAGGTATGAGTATTTGTTGTTTTGGTTTTTAGGGTTTTTCCTAAAATCTTTTTTTCCCCTTTTTTCTATTTTGATTTTCCCCTCGGCCCATGGTCTATCTATTCTCAGGCTCTAGGCCACCTGAGCAGTGTTGGGCATGGGTTCCATCTCATGGAGTGGACCTTAATTACTTTCACAATTTTTGTGTCACTGTTATACCAGCATGCCTTGCAGGCACGTGTTTTCCTTTTTCTGGTAGTGTACAAAGTACCTTCCAGTACCATGGGCACTAGCCAGTAGGGGTGAAGGCTTGGGGCAGTCAGTCACCGGCTCAACTTCTCCATGTTCAGTGAGTTATGTAGGTGTTGTCTTCAGCAATAGGGACTCATCATCAGTTTGGGGAGAGTAACCAATAGCCTTGGTTTCTTGGAGGACTTTAAGGGCCCTCTTTGGCCAACAACTTGATCAGTTGTAACCCACTGCGCACACTAGAGGTTTCACTGGGTAGGGAGAAGTGTCTAGTTGGGGCTTTGCTCTCCCATTATTTGGTGAATCCTATTAGGTTTCTTTCATATATGTACATATTTTGAGAAGCTTCTACTATATTAGGTTTCCATACGCCCCCTCAATTGACCCTTAGTTTTAGTTGTCCCTCCCATATTACCCATAATGTATAGTATGATGTTTTAAAATATGTGTATACTGTGGAATGGCTAAATCAAATTAATTAACATGTATACTTAGCATACTAATTTGTGATGAGGTATCTTAGCAGTTTTCAGGTACTCCGCACATGGATGTTTTAATATCATCATATTATGTTGTCAAATTAAGCATCAGCCTATAGTGTTAGTGGAAGAATTTGCAAACTAGAAAACAGACTGTATTGTCAAAGATAAAGTCAGAATTCTCCCTTTTTGAATGAGTCATTTTTACAGATACCAGAAATGGGGAATATTTAAAAATTAAAAATGTTTAAATTATGAAATATGGCAGTATTCTTTCTTTCTCTCTCCATCGTGTGTTTTTATAGCATTTTCAGCATTATATAAAGGTGTTGTTATTGTGTCTTTGCATTTTTAGGTGGCAAAAAGGTTGGCATTAATCCTAAAATTAATAATTTGATGCCAGGATATGAAGTTGCAAAATATGATCTCATATGGATTTGTGATAGTGGAATAAGAGGTGAGATTTTCTCATTCTATACAGCTACTGTTCATTTGATGATAAAACGCCAAAAACATTGTGAAAATATATTATTTACCAATCTTTGGTTTGCTTGAAAATTTACTTCATCATTATTTATGGTTTTATGTCAATTTTGCTCACTAAGATTTTAATTTTTTTAAGCTAACCTAGATGTTAAATTATTAAAATGCTTGCATTTTGAAGAGAAAATTCAACCATTAAAAAAGTAGTCATGATTCATTATCCATTGGATAGCCTTGAGCTGGTTAATATTGCTTATTTGTTGGGCACTTTTGCTTGTATCTTTTATTTTACCCAAAAAGTCAGATCAATGATCTCATGTTCCCTAAAATATATACATTTATTAAAAGACAGTCATGTCTTTTTTTTTTTTTTATCTAGATTTTAGCAAGAAGGTTTTTTGTTTGCTTGTTTTGGTCCAGCTATCTTAATGGTTATTTTTGAGGCCTTTTGAGACAGTCTCATTATGCAGCCTTGGAATTCACCATGTAGACCAGGCTGACCTTGAACTGTGACTATTTTGTCTTTCCCTTCTAACTACTGGAGTTATAAGTATAAAACCACCTTGCCTGTTGCAAGAAGCCTTTTATATACCAAACTTAGTATTTATAGGTGTAAACATTTGTGTTAAGCTCTATGGTATTTTTGTCAGATTGAGTTCCTTATCCTCAATCCTAGTGACAGAGTGGCCTGGAGAGTTTGTCATGGAGGAAATGTTGTCATCATGCCTGTCCTCTTACCTGCTGGCTGCCAGTAGCACCCTTCCCCATTCTCAATTTTCCAAATGTCACTTACCAAGAATTGTTCCTGGTTGAGAACCACTACCTAAAATAGGGGAGATTTTTGTATCCTGAAGTGCTGGCTGTTGAACACAAGGCCTCATGCATGACCAGCAAGTGCTTTGTACAACAGCCCCGACCTAACTCTAACTTGGGATCTTTCACTTGCTGCAGTCTCCTGAGTAGCCAGGACTACAGGACTGCATCATGAGTCTCTATTGCCATATGGGTATTTAAAGCACAGACACAACTCTTTTTATTTTATACCATTTAGTTCTTAACAAATAAAAGGAAATAAAAACAGTCATGTAGGATTTGAAGTGTTCACCATTTCAAGGTTGGACATTGGTTCAAATTTTTCATTACCTTAAGATATAAATTTGATAATTAATATTCAGTATTCTTACAAATTAATGAGCAGTGTTACACGTTGAGGATCCATGACCCAAATTCATGTCTAATCTTCGTGTTTGTTAATTTAGGTTATGTTAATTTAATTTATGCTTGTCATGCCTTTGCAACCCTGTTGTGGAATCAGGTACATATTACTCCCACTGAGAAAGCAGACTCACTCCTGCGGTTAAAGAATATATGAAGACCTGTGGTCCTTTGACCTGCCCCTGACTATAGGACATTGTCTTCATTTGGTTGGAGGTTCTGACATAGAGGCTGCTGGTATCTCATTAGGGAGGAAGTTCTCAGGCCTCCAGGGTCAATGCCAGCTGAACTACTTTCTGCCTCTGAACCATCCTCACTTTGAGTTGTAGAAGGTGATTCTAGACTGTTGACTTACAAAAAAATTAATTTATAATTATTAAGCTTAGTAATATTCTTTCAAAGAAAACAAAAACTGCCTGGCGCATATTAGGTCTCTCAGGCTAAAAATGTGGAGCTTTTTGAAATTTTGTGTTCTCAGAATAAATGATTGCTATTTATTGAATCCAAATGTCCAAAAGAATATATTAGTTTAATAGCAATTCACAAATATTACATTAATGGACATTTTACTAAAAAGTTGTGTTTTGTTTTGTTTCCTTTTCCTATCCCCACCTTTCCCCGCCTAAATTTTAGTCATTCCAGATACATTAACTGACATGGTCAATCAAATGACGGAGAAGGTGGGCTTGGTTCATGGGCTGCCTTATGTAGCGGACAGACAGGGCTTTGCTGCCACATTGGAACAGGTAAGTGCAGTGTATAAAATTGTGACACCAGCTCATTGGTCTCCATTAGAAGGGGCTACCCGACCTTAGCTGTATTGCCCATGTGGGAGCCTTCAGAGAGCATTCTGGTTCTTCATGGGAGAAGTTCTTGGGTCCCTGGAGTCATCTACTGCCCAGCTGCCCTCACCCTGACAAGAATGGCTGTTCATAGGAAACTGCTGGTGGCCTTGCCCCCACCTGAACACTCGTTTTTTTCTCCATAACGTGTTTACTGACTTCTAGACATTCACTCCAGACTATTGACTTACATACGTTCTTTTAAACTGAAAAGTATTTTGTGATATATTATAAAGTATTTCAAATACAACAAGAAAGCAATGTTCTTGCAAGTCTTTATTAAAAAAAAATCTTTGATTTCCTTTTAAATAAATTATCTTGAAAAACATGTCTTCCTCTTCTTCCTCCTCCTCTTTTTTCTTTTTTCCTCCTCCTCTCGTGTAGGGAGTGATAAATTATGGAGATACAGAAGCATACCACCCCCACCACCCACTAATTACAGCAATTAAGGTTTAGTTTCATTTGGTCATTTTTGGCACACACTGTGATGGGTTTTGTTTTTATGTTTTTCTTATGTGCCCTTTAAAAAGCATGGTTGAAAGTGTACTCTAGAAGCAATTTATGTATTAGTTTAATCACTTCATGAGCCATTCCCATGTTAAAGCCTCACAAAGGACATTTTTACTGGTTAACTCCTAATCTGTCGTATCTACTACACTATTAAACAGAAAGCAAGAATTATCTTTGTGTTAAAAGAGAAAAGACTCTGGGTTTCAGTCTTGGTGTCTATCCACTTTCTCTTCAATATATCTTATATTCGCTTGATTAGTTTTCTAATTGCTACAAATCTGAAAGGATAAAGGCACATTGTTTATTGGTAGAACTTTGATTTGACCTTTGGCAATTTGATCTGTCTCTGACTCTCTCATGTGTGTATATGCATATTCAGGTATATGTATGTAGGAGGGTGAATGTGTGTGTGTGTGTGTGTGTGTGTGTGTGTGTGTGTGTCTGGGTTCAGGTGAGTCTGTGTGTGTGTGTTCAGGTGAATGTGTGTGTGTGTGTTCAGGTGAATGTGTGTGTGTGTGTGTTCAGGTGAATGTGTGTGTGTGTTCAGGTGAACGTATGTAGGAGGGTGAATGTGTGTGTGTGTGTTCAGGTGAATGTGTGTGTGTGTGTGTTCGAACGTATGTAGGAGGGTGAATGTGTGTGTGTGTGTTCAGGTGAATGTGTGTGTGTGTTCAGGTGAACGTATGTAGGAGGGTGAATGTGTGTGTGTGCGTGTGTAGGAAGATGGCGGTCAGTCCCACTGTTGACGTATCACCTTGCGCATCTCAGGACTTCAAGGTGTAATAGAGAAAGGACAGTAAGAGATTAGGGACTGGAGAGATGGTTCAGCGGTTAAGAGTAAGTACTGTTCTTGCAGAGGACCAGAATTGGGTTCTCAGCACCCAAGGTGGGCGGCTCACAGTATTCTGTAACTCCCATCATCAGAGGATTCTGACCCTCCAGCACCCACAGCACCTGCATTCAGATGCATGGAACCCCCACAGACTTGCACAAGTACACTGATTAAAAATAACTTTAAGAAGAAATAGAATTATCCTGAACGTTGGTACACCTATACGTGGTCTGTGTGTATGTATACATGCTCATACACACACACACACACACACACACACACACACACACACAACACGTACATGTCATTAAATATTATAAAATCAGGAGACATTAAGTATTTGGTGATATTTTATATACCATTTAATATTTATTCTTTTTTTATATCCAAATTCTATTTATCAATTTTAGAAAAGATAATATTGACTCAAGTGTAGAATATGCTTTTCCCTCTAGAGGTAAAATTTCTCGGTAATGATGCTAGTAAGAGCAGTCAGCCGAGCAAATTAGTAATTGCTTAGACTACAGTAATGCACTTGTTCACTTTTTATTCCCTTGGCAGGGGTGTGGAGGGGGGGAGGTGATGTGAGCATACTAGGGTACTCAATCATATTTAACAGAAAGCATTGGAAAGGTTTATAAACATCATACTTTTAACATTAGAACCTAATTGATCATGTTTTCTTGGGCAGGTATATTTTGGAACTTCACACCCAAGATCCTATATCTCTGCCAATGTCACTGGCTTCAAATGTGTGACGGGAATGTCTTGTTTAATGAGGAAGGATGTGCTAGATCAGGCCGGAGGGCTGATAGCCTTTGCTCAGTACATTGCTGAAGATTACTTTATGGCCAAAGCAATAGCTGACCGGTAAGAAATTTATCTTTAATTTATTTTTAGTCTCTAGCTTATTAGTTATAATATAGATTCAGGCTATTTTATTTTATTATTTCTGCTCATGAATATAAAAATTAATAATTTTGGCAGAGCATTCACTCATACTCAGTATTCATAGGTAGGTACTAATGAAGCAAGGACCTTCCCCCATTTCCTGCAGCTGTTACCATTTGTGAAGCAGCTAACAGGAAGCTTGGGAGAGAATGTAGGTAGAAATTCCTGTGTGTTTGGGAAAAACTAAAGTGCTTGGTAGCATTTGAAAATGAACTTTCTACAATTTTTTAAAATTTTATTTTATAGATATGAGTGTTTTACCTTGCACGAATGTACACCATGTGTACATCTGGTGTCTCTGGAGGTCAGAAGAGGGCATCTGATCCCCTGGAACTGGAGTTGCCAATGGTTGTGTGCCACCATGTGGGTGCTGGGAATCGAACCTAGGTCCTCTGCTAGAATAGCAAATGCTCTTTACTGAGCTAGCTCTCCAGCCCCAAACTGTGACATTTCTTAGCACATTGTTTCATGCTTCACTAATAAGCCTCCTCATGACTTAGCATTTCTCCATTACAGATAATGTGTTTGGGCTTAAAGATCACTGCCTTGTATGATCTCCTATTTAAGAATTTTCCTTTTGATGAAGAATATATTCAGAGTTCTTCCATATGGTGTTTATGAGGTTCATGGTTACCTAGTATCTTCTGTGAGACACAGTGACACTTGGGTACTTTTCTTGTTGAACACACACTCCCTCACATGCACACACACACACAGGGGGAGCAACCAGAGACAAAACTATTGAGTGCAGATCTCTTCTCATGGAGGACTTTGAGAATGGCTTCCTATAAACCTAGGGAATGTAGTTCTTCCTGGTTAGAACGTGATACAATTGTGGCGCAATGCAATTGCTCCGAAACATCCCTCACATCAGTTTGTTCCTCTTTAAGGGCTGAGCTTGCCCTGAATACCAGCAGCTGCTTACTCTGACAGTGACTAATGAATGCAGAACCAGTCAGGCTTGAATGTGCCCATCAACAACATGATCACATTGTCATTGTCTTCATTTTCAGAGGTTGGCGGTTTGCAATGTCTACTCAAGTTGCCATGCAAAACTCTGGTTCATACTCAATTTCTCAGTTTCAATCCAGAATGATCAGGTAAATCGATAAGCTAACATTCTATACTTTGTTAAAAGGAATGTGCATGTGTGATTTGCTACATGGTACATAGAATATGATTTAAGAAACTCTAGTGTCAGGCATCATGGTGCCTGAATTCCAGCACTTGGGAGGCAGAGGCAGGAGAATCTCTGTGAGTTTGAGGTCAGTCTGGTCATAGTGTGTTCCAGGATAGCCAGAGCTACATAATAGAGACTCTGTCTTGAAAAAAGAATAAAAAAAATCTAAAGATTAATTTGCTTCCAGAAAACAGAGTTTAAGTTCTGTATTAAGAGAAATTGAATGCCTAAATATATTTTCTTAGTAATACTGGAATATTTTTCAAAAAAAAAAAAAGATGTTGAAACTAAACTCTGTATTTCTCAGAATATAGAATATATTCTGAGAATATATTGTATGAATGTATGAGAATATAATGAATGTATAGCCATTTTTATTTTCTAAATAAAAATAGGAAAGAGATTCATAAAAGCAAGTCTGAAGGCTGGAGAGATGGCTCAGCCGCTAGAAACTAAGCTCAAAAAACAAACAAACAAACAAACAGCTAGACTTACAACCAAAAATATGAGAGTTCTGTTCCCAGCACCATGTCTCTCTTCAGCCAAGTTAAAAAATAAACAAACAAAAAAAGAATCTGGGTAGTGATGGCACACACCTTTAATCCCAACACTCAGAAGGCAGAGACAGGTGGATCTCTGTGAGTTCAAGGCCAGCCTCGTCTACAAATTGAGTTTCAGGACACCCAGGACTGTTTCACGGAGAAACCCTATCTTGAAAAAAAAAAAAAAAAAAGAATGAATGAATGAAAATCTGAAAAAGGAAGGCTGGGGATGTAACTAAGTTGAAAGACTGCTCTCCTAGCATGCAGAAAACCCTGGATTTCATCCCGACACTTGGGATCCTTAGCTACCTAGGGAATTTGAGGCCAACATGGGCTATGTGACAGACCATGTCTTAAAAATATATAAATAAATAAAATAAAAACAGTATTTCAAAGAGGATAGCCTTTTTGTGACAGGGTTAAAAGTTGATCATTTGTGTGGGAGTGGTTGATGGGGGGCTGTGGTGGGAGTGTTTGGTGGGGGTCTTTGGGGTGGGGTGGTTGGTGGGTGGCTGTGGTGGTTGGAGTGGTTGGTGGGGGTTTCTGGGGGTGGTGTGTGTCTCTATGGTGTAGTTGCAGGACTGGGGGTTGGGTGGTTACTTTTATAACCTGGATGTTGTCTTAAAAAAAACATCCATTTTGCTCTTTGTTTCTTTCTTCAGGTGGACCAAATTGAGAATTAACATGCTTCCTGCTACAATAATTTGTGAGCCAATTTCAGAATGCTTTGTTGCCAGTTTAATTATTGGGTGGGCAGCCCACCATGTGTTCAGATGGGATATCATGGTCTTCTTCATGTGCCATTGCCTAGCATGGTTTATATTTGACTACATTCAACTAAGGGGTGTCCAGGTATGTGCATACAACAAGGGCTCTCAGTAATTTGGTGAGGAACCAAAACTATTTTAATTTAGAATAGGTTGAAGAAAATTCAATTCATTCTGTAGATTCAGACTGAAGAATAAAATGTAGACATAAAATTAAGCAAAATTTGGAATTTACAGTTAGTTCAGAAAAATGTTAAGCAAATAAATATTCATACTGAGACTGCAGTTATTTTAATGCTGATTTTACTAATAATAAGCACTTTCTTAGACAATAGGCAGTTATCTGACTCAAGGAGACACCTTCGATGGTACCAAGAGTGGGGTCTGTGGGTGTGTGGGTGAGAGAGAGAGAGAGAGAGAGAGAGAGAGAGAGATCTCCTTGCTCACATGTGCAAGCTTGTCCTCCCTTCTACTAGATAGGTTCTGGAGATTGAACCCAGGTCATCAGACCTTTCCTTGCTGAGCCATCTCATCAGCCTAGAATTTTTTTCTTTCACTGTGCATTTAGTCTGATAGGAAATAAACTGAATCTTATTTTTAATCCTCAGGGTGGCACACTGTGTTTTTCAAAACTTGATTATGCTGTGGCTTGGTTCATCCGAGAATCCATGACAATATACATTTTCTTGTCGGCATTATGGGACCCTACTATAAGCTGGAGAACTGGTCGCTACAGGTTGCGTTGTGGAGGAACAGCAGAGGAAATCCTTGACGTGTAACAAGAGCTTTGTAACTGTGCACAGAGGATGGAACAGAAGTATTATAAATTATGTTTATAGAAATGCTTTTAAGGATCTACCTTCAGTAGTTTTATCACATGTATGTTTTGGTATCTGCTCTTTAATTTATTTGCATGGCACTTGCATCTGTGAAAAGGAAAAAAAACAAAAACAAAACAGGTCTGTAGTCTTGGCTAATAGTATATTTTGTGGAAGTAGAGAATCAAGACAATTGGTTCTAGGAAACTGGGTTGTTTTTTTGTTGTTTGTTTGTTTGTTTTTTTAAACAAATAAGTATATATATGTGTGCGTACACACACACACACACACACACACACACACACACACACGACTGCTCTGCAGCAGACACTATGACAGTATCCTTCAGTAGGAAAAGTTTCTTACCTGAGTGTACTCACTCTAGGATCTGTATGGGCAGGACAATAGCAGCTCTGTGAGAGAAGGGGACAGGTCATGGCCTCCCCTGTGTGAAGTGAATGACAATACACAGGGAGGCGCTGACTGAGAAACTTTTTCATGCTTTATGCCTACCTCTTGTAGTTGTTGCAGAGCAAATAGAAGTTAGAAGTTATAATACGGTAGCTAGGCCTTGCAAAAACAAATGAAAAACTTTAAAAAGTAATAATAATAATAATAAAAGAGCTGGAGTCTAGTATTTATATGAATCTGTGAGATTTTTTTTTTTTTTTTTTTTTTTTTTTTTTTGTCTCACTGCAATGAACCAAAAGTGGCTGAGATTGGTTTTTAATCCTAACCATGAATTGAAGGCATCTTCCGGACCAACTGTTGTTGGTTCTGTCTTGAACCATGTTAATCACTGTGCTGTAATTACAAGAGCTGAATCTTTCCTTCCCTGTTCCTCGCCCAGCCTGCCCTGTCTTTCCTTAGCTTTTTTTCAGGGTGGGGGGTGGGGGGTGATCTTGTTCTAGTGTGAGTGGATGTTTTGATAGTTGTAAGGAAAATGCATTTCAGACACAGTTCACAGGAGCTATTTTCTTACCCAGTATGTCTGTATTGTTAATAAGAATGTAATTTCATGATATAGGTATTTAATATCTTTTTTAAGTAAGTAAATATTCTAGCTATCAGTAAATAATTACAGTAGAGAATTAAGAGAGGACATGATGAGGTTTGCTCTTAAAATCAGTATCTAACTGAGTCTACTGTGTGTGTGTTGTTTATTTGTTTTTTGGTGTTTTGTTTTCTTTTTTTTTACTACAATAGTCTAGTCTTATTTAAATTGGGTTTTTGTATTCCGTTTGTATGACCGTAGACTAGGCCAGCCTAGTTATAAATGCATGCTTACTTCGCTCTCTTCTCTCCCATCACTCAGCTAAACTTGCTTGTCAGCTTGTGCTTAACTTGTGGTGAACTGGACTTTTGTTTAAAATAAGCAAAAAATGTAAGGGACAGTGCATCGGCCTTTTTCCTACTCCCTATGTTTTTTACATGGTATCTTGCTTTTCCTTCTGAACTTGGTGGCATGTTGTCCATCTGATGCCTGCTGCTAACACCAGCACTATAGCAGCTTCACATCCTATGTTATTGTGGCTTCCGTGTCCGTGCATAGCGTGTAGCCTATTAGCAATAACTTCCTACTGATAGAGAACACTTCATCCTACTGAGCCAGTCCATTTGCCTAACGACTATACACATGGTCTAAACTGCAATATATCTGTAAATGTGTATATACTATAAATATATACCGCACTTAACATTTTTCTGGGCCAAACTGCATTATCATCCCTTTACTCTTTCCCCTGGCTTCCTCCCTCCCTCCCCTCCCCCACCTCTTGCCTTATGATGAATTTGTTTGAAGGGCATTTTCTTTATGAGCAAAGGCTTGGATGCATATTCCTTTTTTTTTATGAAATAGGTAATATTGTCCCCCGAGGAGAGTTGCACAGTGAAAACCAGTCTGGTTATGACCCACTATGTGTTTATTTTTTTATCACTCTTTCATGAGTTGAGGTTTGCTGAGCATGTTTGTCATTTGTCCATTGTGTAGTGGAGTTTGGTAGATGCCATCCTTTGCACTGCTGAAGTGAAATCTTGCTGACTACTTAGCTTTTTTGTTGATCTCAGTATGGGCAAAGAAACAAAATCCAAATGGCTGGACAAACTTCTTGTGTTCTGTAAATATTTTTTAAAAGTGTTCTGTATGTGTTTTATGTGGTCATGGAGTATTTCCTTAAAGCGGAGCTTCAAGTATGCAGAGAGTAACTCTTTGTTTAGCAAGTTTGGAGTGAAGATAAAATAGTAAGAAATACTGTAAATGTCTAAGTATCACAGCAGAACTGTAAGAGTCCAAATTTATAATAAACTGTCTTTTTAAAAAAAACAATTAAGTGTCTAGAATATATCATGTTTTATTATTTAAAATCATTGTCAAGTTTTTTGTTCATAAAATAAAAATTTGAATACAATCAACATGAGCAACAATGTGATTTTGTGTACTCCCTCCCCCTTCTTTTTATGCCTCTGATCAGTGATCTAACATGGTTTATCTTAGACATGTCATTCATTTTCAAACCTTCCTTTCATTTGGGCCACACTGGGCTGGAGAAGGTAAAGTCCGTGAACCCCATCCACACATCATTAATCACCCTGGGTGGGGCCGAATTCTGCTATGGCTGTACTTGTAGAATGACTAGCCCTTAGTGACAATGACCAGAGCCAGAATTCCCTTTGGGAGCTCTCTCCAGGCTGACTCAGCCTGAAAAATCTGCCTTTTTTATTTTATCACTTCCACAGCTAAGAAAGGTAAATCAGTCCCAGGGAAGGACTGGGTGGTCTTGCTGCCTGAGGTACACACTGTCCAGGCAGGCCTCTCCTGAGCTAGAGGCATTCCCAAGCCTACCCTCAATAAACCATGAGTAACGATTTCTGGAGAGCACGTCCAGGTATGTGGGGGAAGGGCATGATCCAAAATCCACGTTGAATGTTGAACGTGTGTGTGTGTGTGTGTGTGTGTGTGTGTGTGTGTGTGTGTGTGTGTGTGTGTGTGTGTGTGGGTGTTTAT